ATTACTATACTACTTATGATTATTGGATTAAGGCCGGGAAGGCATTTGCCTGGGGGTCAAAAAACATTTTACTTTAGAGCTTGAGCTATATTTTTTTTAGAAGAAAAGTCGTTTTTCTGATTGACTCCAAACGTCTGCTAACTAAGAAATGACAACATTTTTACAATTCCAGAGTGTCTCAATGATGATGCAGCTTAGGCCGTGAAAACAAAATTTTAATTTGTTTTGTAAGGTTATCGCAAACCATCGGAATTGACGCCCCCCTCGCCGTAGTGACAGTCATTTCCGCTCATTTATTTGGAGAGAAATCAAAATAATTTGTTGACACGTTCTGGGCATATGCCGATAACACCGAAGCGCTCTCAGATTGAGTAAAACCTTGAGTCTTTGGAAAATCTGATCAAGTCAGTTTTACTCCTGCATTCTTTTCAGGCTCTCACTACTTCCAAAACAACTCCAGCTTAACCTGTGCATTGCTGGCATGGTCAAAAAATACGTTGCATCAGTGACAACAAAAATAACAACAGTCATGATAATGAATTTTCATGATGAATACGAGAAGAATAATGATGATGACGAGAAACTGATCGAGAGAAAAACCTGCGACAGAAAGGAGAGGTTTACTTGGAAAAAGCAGAGAGTTAATCCAAAGGGAGAGCAAGCATCTTGAACTAGCGGAACATCGAGGTTAACAAAGCTTGAAAAGCTAAGAGAAGACTCAAATGTGTTTGCTTGAGAGGGCGAAGTTTCCAATCTGCATTATTGTCGAAAAGGATAAGCATTTTGGCATTTATTTAGTATGGGGTTGTTGAACACCAGATGATCGATATGACTGGCGAGGGCTCAAACTTCCGGATCCGGAGGAATTTTCGTTCTAAAATGCAAAGTACCTCCTCTTTTCCGTCTAGTAAAAAAAAGAAAGAAAAACCATGTTCCTCATGAATCAAATTGAAATTGACTGTCTTAAAAGTTGGATAAATTTGCGTAAATCATCAAGCACATTTAATTTTAATGGCGCCGTCTGAACCGGTCTTGTTTGACATGTTTTGGGCGGGAGGTTAAACTGAGTTTTGAGAAAGATATCCTAGAATGATGAAGATGAATATCTGTTTATCTCTTGCGATCAGTCTCAAAAATAATATCATACCCACCAAATTAAAAAATATTTAGTATTCAAAAATTACCGCGAAACTGTAAACTTAGAATATCACTGGATGTTCTACAACTTAAATGAACGTTAATAAAGAAGCCATTTCAACAGTGTTCGGAACCCGACAGTTGTAAAACAAATGCACATTAATTGGCGACACTCTACCTTCGCAAGTTTTATTGAAGGTGAAACCAGTGCTGCGCATGATGTTGAAATATCAGTTTCGCACAAGTTTTTTTCTGCGTTGATTTTTAACAGTGCAGTACAGCGTTCAACCGCCTGACATCACCTTAGGTCGGGGCGAGTTGTAAGAGAAAAGGTTAGTTATCACTGTATATATACACAGTATAAATATAGTTATCCTTTTATTTCTTTATATACATTCAGTATTTGTGGTTCGTTTTAATTAAAGTGACGCTTTGGTATTAATTTAAATGGGCTATGTCTTTTGAGTTTCGAAAAAAAAACCTCATCTAATTTCTTTGTTTTTTTTCAGTTAAGCCTCTGTACAGTTTGTTTCAGACAGTATTTTAAATTTTAGAAATCGAGGAAATCTCTAAAATATTAATGGTTTCCAACAATGCAACAACGCTTTTGAAAGAACCAAGAATTAGCATGTCAAAACTGCATTTTTAATCTCCTCAACACATCTGCAAATATCACATATTAAATCTTTCTCTTTTAAGACGTCATTTCTAAATTGATTTTTTGCAAATGCCGATAATGACAGAGAAACAAGATTACCTGAACTTGTAAAGAGCCGCCGACTAAAAGTACGTCCAGACTTTTACTTGTATTACCTGAATTAACTTTTACGGCAGTAATTTTCGTCTCTCGTTGACTGCTGCAACATATATGCCTTATTTCTGTCACCGAGGCACTTATGTAATCAGTGCAAACTGCCTAGACAGTATTCAGTTGTCGGAGAACTGAAAAATTAATAACGATTTTAAAGAAGAATTGTTCAGTACGGCGGGCACTTGAAAGATGGCAGTTTCTTTACCAAGAACTCTTTAACGCCTTTCGCTACAAAGCCGTTCATGATGGGAAACTTAGCAACAGAACACTAAACTTAAACATCCGCAGTTGAAATGATTAATTCAAATAGAGTCTACAACTTTTGTTCAGTCAATATGAACTTTTCATTTACATCAAAAATATCTTTCACGGCATTTTGGGCAATAGAACCTTGCGATGGTCTCTTTGAATGGCATGTAAAGTGGTTTATCGGCATAGCTTTTGTAGAAACGCACAATGAAACGAAACACGAGTTCGTGAAACCTTAAGGAACTGTGCTAGAAATTCTACCGTGTACGTTTAGATTGACTGTGGTTTCACGGCCGGGACTCTTAAAATTTGTTCGATTAAGGTGTGTTACATACAGTCATGTAGGACCTGTTGTTTCGCACATATATCGGTATATATGGGAATTAACAGGCCTTGGTGTATTAGGCTTGTGGTCTTAACAAGGCTAAACTTAATCCTTGAACACCTTAAAAGCAAACTTCTTAATTCATCCGGCGGAAGAGTAAAGAAATGAAACACTAAAGACTGGACGCCATAATTTCATCCCGGACTGCACAATGACTGACACTTCTGCCTCAGCTGGAGAGTGTTTTTAAAGTTTCCGGTGTTCAATTTTCTAATTAACACTGTTTCACAATATATTCAAACCAGTGTATTCTGATAACAGAGAGAGCTAAGGCATTACGGATTTACCAAAGAATTGATGAATGCGGCCAAGGCCTTTCAGTTTCGCGTAGGTCTCATCAAACTTGTTCGAGGGAATGTTTGATTACATCGACAGTAAATGATTCCAAATCTTAAACCATCTTTGGTAGTTGCTGCGTTTTTGTCTAAAAGCACCAAAGAGGAAAAATATCCTGGTTTCATCCCTTGACAACTAGTCAGGTTTCTCCTTTATTTGAAGCACTCAAGTCATCTTAAGATCCACTCTTATAAATCGCTAGAATCGAGACCATTTTTAGAAGTCAACAAGGCAAAGCCTTACTTCGTAGATCGTTCGATCGTTCTCTTCAAACGAAGCTTTTAATTTTCCAGCAGCCCTTCCCAATTAAGTGTAATTAAAGTCGCTAAAATATTCACTGAATATAAAGCATCGCACTAATTTTTTTTCTTTCTTCAGGGCTTTCCGAAGTGCGTTGCAAGTTTATCACTTTTATCGAACAGTTCATCAATCAATTCGCCATCACAGGGCATACTTCACCGCGGAAAACATAATGAACCGGACGACCTCATTTTCAATGTATTTGCTTTCGACAAACAGAAAAATAAAACAAATTGTAGGGCGCAATATTGTTTCGGGCCGATCGAAAACTCATTACACTTAAAAGACTAACAGTCAGTGTAGAAATAGTGGATTTGCGCGTCGCTTACTTCGAACACATACAGTGGCTTTTTCAACCTGCGAGTAATAACTCCTTCCACTTTCTAATCAGACTGTGTTTTCAGTTTCGGCGCTTAGCCTTGTTTCGAACTACACTGAAACGGGTGCTTCAAAAATTTCACCGCATACTGTACATGACGTATCCAGGATTTCTGTAGTATCGCTTGAGATTTTATCATTGATAGGATCGGATATAACGATCTTTTGCGTATAAAGCTATATATGAACGCATTACCTCAGTCTTATCTATCCTTGCCAGTCAAAAAAGATGGTTACTTATCTCTCGGCTTATCCACAGCTCGTAGCCAAAACTAATCGAAAATCTGGTTGGACTTTTAAAATAAATATCACCTTCAAAACTACAACGTCTGACAAGTCCGCGGGCTAGGTTTTTAAATGAAAGGACTTCGATTCTAAGAGAGACAACTTCGTGCAGGTATCTTCCGTGAAGGAAATGGATGAGAACTCAACAACTCACGCCATGGTTGTGAGAGGCGATTTTTTATTAGTTTTTTCAAAACATTGACGCTTGTTTTTGTGAGCATATGCGAGGGAGCATAAAAATTAATAGCCTTTTCGTATAATTACTGCCTGAGTGTGAAACTAAAACTGTTTTGGACATAAATTGTCTGGCAATTAGCCTTTGTGAAACAACATATCCAAAGTTGTCAATTTCGCAGTCCTTGCTACTTGGAATGGTTTCCGGCCAGCAGTAAAATGACTGACATATAAAAGATATTAAACGCTTTTTTGCGCAATGATTTTCTCCTCGTTTCGAGAGAGTTTTCCATTGATCTTGACCGGTGCGTTTTCTTTTTGTAAAATTTCACTTTAGCATGTTTCCAAACGGATGTATAAATAGTTGGTATCTCAGACGAGTGACAGAATCGCAAACACAGCTGAGAAGTTGCTTTTAATTAATTGCTCTGCGCCTGCGGAGTTGCTTTTCAAGCTGCTAAGCGTCACGGCGCTGTTTTTGAAGACACTTTTTAAGGAGGAAATCTCGTTCCTGTAATTTCCATTTAGACGTAAGTGTAGAAAGGATACCGGAAAGCCTATTTACGAGAAAAAGTGTCTTTCCAATAACCTTCAAACCACAGAACTTGGGCCGGTGAAGCAAAGGGGGCGGGCTTACAACAGGCTGTCTATCATGCCTGAGGGAAAACCATTTTTTTCTCTGGGGAGAGGATATCTTAACTCACAAATTGAGTGTCGGAATGTATCATAAATGTACATGGTATTTTGCAGAAAATAATATTTTACAACTTATAATATGCAAATTGTTTTAAATAATTAGTTAATAAACAATATCAGTTAACATGGTATAAAAAATAAGCAGCCGTGTGTTTTACGCTACCTCCCCTCCCCTAAAGTATTTTATTAGCATCTTGCTGATATTGTTAACTGCACTCGGCTCAGTTCACTCACTTTCTACTCGTTGACTTCTCTCGGTATACTCCAGCACAGCTGACCAGAATCAAGGAGTTTGGGACGCCTTTCTCGACCGCACAAGAGGCTTGAGGGCTTATAATGTAACAGAGGAGGTGAAAATGAAAGATGAGGAAGGTAAGAAAGCGACACCGAGCGACGATGAGGGGAAAGCAGCTGAGAACGGTGAATTAGTGCGAATGGATGGTGACGATTCGCACGCGGCCATCGTCAACTCAAATGGCAAAAGCCGAAATAAAGCGAATCGCAAGCGACGAGGTTCTACTTCTCCTGAAGAGGACATTATCGACGGATTTGCTATCTCTTCTTATTCGTCGCTGGAAGCGTTGGAGGTATGTAGAAATAATAACTATTTGCGGCCTTCTTTATCAAACTATTAACAGTAACAGGTCGGTCAACGGGCTCTCTGTGCGTCTTGGTGTCACAAACACTCGAATTTGCCAAACTAAAACCGACTTAGTTGAGCGGCATTTGTACGGTCGCATGCAAATCAGACGTTTTTTATCCGTGTTAGATGTGATTGATACCTTTCGTTGTTTTGAAAATATTCGTCCTTTAGCCATTTTGTGTACAGAGGGCGGCCAAAGCGGAGATCGTACAATGTTTACTTTTCGCAACAATTCACTCGAGCTTTAGCTTCAAGAACTTCCTACAACCATAAATGTCAAATTTTCAATTGATCGCTAATACCGAAGTAAAGCTACGTTCCGTCTAAGTCTAAAGAAGGGTACATGAATGAGAGATTTGGAACGTATTCGCTGGAAATGCGCCGAATTCGGAGTCCGCGAAACGCTTGTCTTTCAACGAGCCCATTCCGTCTTCGTGCCGATTTTGAGAGGTGGTTCTTAGGGAGATTTTCAAGGAGATATCAACGCTAAATATATAAAAGCCACGCATGAACAATTTCCTATGTGTTGTAGTCTACTCGGTATCATTGTTACTAAGTGATATACTTGGGCTTGTAATTTAGCAAGTAAACCTCGAGCAGACCACAAATGATTTTCGATTGCACGTACAGGGCATTTTCGCGTGTTGGGAATGGAGTAGTTCTCAAAGTTCGGCCCGTTATCTCTTAAAACTGCGATCGATTCTTTCGTTTGGTTTACATGTGTTTTTTCCTTCCGGCATTCTGTATAAAGACACGAAACCCTTGTATCTTGCGTTTAGCTTTCAAGCTGGGAGAAACTAACGGGTCCGTGTATTTTGACCACAGTCCGTGGTCAAGAGTAAACCTGATAATTCGTCAAGGAACGCCGATGTTTTAATGCAGACAGATATAATGACTGTATTCATTCGGTTCCTCGTATGAAAAGTGGCTTTCGAATACTCGTTGAAATTTCAGTATTGTGGCCAAACATCTTGCCTTTTAAGCAGTATTAAATATTCAGCGATTAAACTGGAACGATCACAGCCAAACTCTTTCAGATGATTGGATTAAGTTATTAACAAACATTCCACCCTTGTTAGTCGAGTTGGGTTTTGTCAGATTCAATGTCGCAGTCATGTAGTTTTTTATGTACGAGTTTCCTTTTTTAAAGGCCTTTTGCCAGGCTCTAAACGAAAGGTCATTTTTAAAGTGTGATCCTCACATCGAATAACACAAAGCGAAAAATATTCCCAAGGGCAGCGTAAGGACATTACATTAGAAATTTTACCACGTTGTTCTCACTTATCCACCAGCTCTTCTCTGAGTCTATCGCGTCAATTAAAAAAAAAAAGGAAAAGAAAAACAGAAAGAAATATAAGTTTTGTTAACTCAGATGCCTTGAATATTTTTTTACTTCGTAACGTTTCGCTAGTGTTTGTTGAAAGAAATTTTATTAATGGTTTGCTGATTCGAACTGCAAATCTCTTCAACTACATTTTCTCCTTGTTAAACCAGCTTTGTTTAGTTTTGTACCTTTTTACCACTCGTGTGTGTTTTAGTGTCCCCGAGGGCTTTCCTTGTTTGTAGAAAGAACAATATCCTCGGGTTCCAGACCAATATATCTGTCTTTCTATCGAGAGACGTTGAGTGTTGGCTTAGAAGAACTTATCTTGAATAGAATTGGACCACTCTCTGTTTCTGTGGCAATCAATTGTGCCATGAAACATGCGAGCTGGATCGCTGAAGCATTGTGATTTTATAGATAATGCATCTGTGCAATTGACACAAAAGTAACAATTTTGCAACACATTTTCTTTTTATTTTTAAAGAGTGCTATCTGCCAACCTGTTTTAAAGACATTAGTGCTCAATATATTTCCAAGTCTTGACAAAAATTAGATACACTATCACCTCAAGTGTCTTGATAAGTGTAAACTTTCAGTTTTACTTCGTATTTTGGACTCCGCTATTAATAACCAGCTTTAAAACTTTTTCTGTACTCTCAACAGTTCATTGCGATGACATACATTAGCAGTGTAAGACACTTGCTATCTGCAGCTTCTTCTGAGGAACTATTTTTCAAGAAAAATTACTTTCTATCAGCTAGTGAAATAGTTACTGTGCATGACATTCAATTATTGTTTGGTTTGTTTCAATTTTTTGCTCTCTCCTGTGTGGGTTTATTAAGATACTAGATAGCTTGTGGATTTGTTAGAATCTTGTTCTTATTCAATATTAATTAACTTCAAATGTATTGAGAATTCTCTCCTGTGTTTACTAGCTGGCAGTTTCCCATTTGTAGTAATTAAAAGTGAGAAAACTTTGCACCAGATTCATATGATTTTTGTGTCTAATGAATTAAAGGAGCTCACAGATTAATTTTTCCTGTACATATTTTGGGTCAATAACCATAACATTATGAATTATGAGTTTGTTGTGAGACATCGGCTTAGTGCCTGGTTGAAACTGTTCAATTTGAGAACAGAAATAATTTGTCAATTATCAGTGGCTACTAGTAACCATGAGGTAATCTTCATGGAGTAAAGCTAAATAAAAGCTAAAATATTGCAAGACAGTTAATTTAAATATTATTGCATATTTTTTTTGCAGTCAAAGGGACCCAGTAAACCAGAACTACTTGTTGATGGGCGCCGATCTCACAAAAGCTCCAAACGAAGTATAGAAAATGGAATAAATGGAAAGAAAAGGAAATCTGAAAAACGTCGAGCCAGGGTATGTCCCCTTGTAAAACCATTAGTGCTTTACATGCTTGACAAATTGTTTTTCATGTATTCAGATATACATAGTGTAGCTGTAGCAAAGTGTTGTATGGCTGTTTAAGATTTTGAAGGTAAAGTGGTTGAGGAAAACTGAAGTGAATAAATTTGACTGTGTGAAATTCATAAAGTGTTGGACAGCTGTCTGTCATTATGGAAACATCATGCTAGGCTTGTCATGCCAATCAAAGAACCTAGAGTAATTAAACCAGTTAGGACTAAAATTAGTCATGCATATTTATAGTGCCTTTCTTGCCTGTTAAGGGAGAAGCAATTTTATTTTGATAACATCATGTAAAGTGGTATGTCTCTTTTTGTGTCTGGTTGCAAACTTCAGGTGTTCTACGATGTCAATTTGTGCCTTATTTGTACCTCTGTTTTGTGTTCCTGTTTCGAGAAATCTGTTGTCATTCCAATTAACAGCTGAAACCACAGAAAGTTATACAATGTGGGATACCAATTACACTGTTTACCTTTTCGTTTGAATTCAATTTCAAGTACAGCTAGACCTCAGGCAAACATCTTCATGCAAGGAAATAATTTCTCTAGTTAATATCTTTTTCATCATTGAGTGTGTTGGGTGAATTATACATAACAAAATAATTGTCCCAAATACTTTAAAAAGAAGCAACAATTTGAGGAAATTCTTGACTTTCATGTTGGGATTTCAAGCAGTTGAAAAGGTAATTCCAATCCCAAAGTTTCAAGTTTCATCAGTTAAGAAGGACAGTTGTTTATTTTCTTAAGCCATAGCTGATTCAAATCTTTCCACACTGGAATTCTTATCATTCAGATTAAGCTCATAAATGACATTTTCACCTCTTACTACTGATGATAATAGCCATTGACCAAAGCAAGGCACAATGTCGCGATAAAGCCAAGCTCTGACAAAAAATTGTTGTGGAGCTTTACTGGAATATTCTTGTAAAGATGTGAAGTTGCTATCTTGTTAATAATATATAGTGTGACCAATCCTGTGTTTCATTTGATCACAATGACAAGCCTAAACATCTTCCCACATTTTTTTGGTGACCACAAATTACAAAAGTGTAAGACTAAGTTAGTGAGGTTTCTCTCTCTCTGTGAGGTAGAATTTGAGGGTAAGCTCTTATTCCTGTGCAATGAAGTATGTCAATTTTTATTTATATCATTCTTAGGTTGTTTTGTTTGTAAAGGCATGACTAAGCTAATCTTTGATATGAAGCTTGCTTCCTTTACGTCTGTACTTCATCAAATAGATTTTTTTGTTTTGTGTTTTGGTACTTTAGTTTTGTCTTGGTTCCAACCAACCCCTCACTAACAGCTAGCTTCAATGGCATGCTCTCAACAATCAAAAGGAAGAAATGTTTTGGTGCATGATAAATTGATATCTGGATTAACCTCTTAATCCTGGATTAATAGCAGTTAATCCTAGCTATTTTTGTCTGAAAGCTTGGGCCACATCTTTTCACGATTTGCAAGATCTTAATTGGGAATTTTGCCTCTTACTATATCACAAACATAGCAAATAGTACCTTTTACTTTGTGCTGTGAGCTTGCAAATATATTTCCCATCACAAGAAAAACATTTTTTCCTGTGTCTTTGGAAAGGGTCTGCAATGATATTTTACAATCTTAGATGGTTAGCCATAAACTTTGAAGTTTAATTTTTAAAGGTAAAAAAAGGATTGGAGAATTGGTGTTAGTGTGACAAATTGACTTGAAGGGAAAATAAGTCACCATAAAATTAATATTATCTTTCAAGAGTGGTAGCCATAACAGTACTTGCACAGTATGCATCATCAGACTTTTGTTTTATGATGTTTTGTTCATGAAATGCAGACGGTGATTCTAAGAGCACAATGGAGTAATGGTCAGGCATTTTTAAAGTGTCAATTATTTCTGGTGGTATTTAAAATTGAAAAACATATCTTTAGAAAGAGGTGAAAAGGTGAAAAGCTGGTTTCTTTCATAAGCAGTCTAAGCCTGGGATAGTTGGAAGTGATATCATCATGTGGTTACAAAATTCATGATCATTTATTTACCTGTTTGCTGGCCTATAGACACTCTACACTTTTACGAATTTGCACACACCCTCTTTCACTTTTGTTCTACAAGGGATCAAAGAGATCTAGGAATTTGAGAGGGAGTAGATGCATACTAATTTTACACTGGAATTAAGCTCTGGATTATCAATTTGCCTCTAAATGTGGGCACACACTAGCTGGTAAAAGTCATTTCAGCCCTTTTGTGCTAGGAATTGTGTCTGAGAGTTAAAGATTGCCTGCTTTTTAACAATATCATGCTCGATAGAAGCTTGTAAATGAAGGATACCTGCTTTACTTGTGCTTAGGGCGGACTTTTTCTGAAATATAATTCTCAAAGATTATTTAAATTTTGAGCTTGGTGGCCAGATAGTGAAAGATGTTAAACATTTATCAGGAGCATGAAGTGAAGTGAGGTTTGATTGCCCAGAAGGATTCAATTGGGAGGTCAGATGCCTCACCAAGGTTTTCACCTGTCTTGATTAGACTCTACACTTTACTCAGGGTCATTGTTGTTGGGGAATCAGAACTCTACATTGGAACCAGCAGGGTTGTGAATCTTTGAGGACTCAGATCACTCTTTGCCCTATGTTGTTAGCAGTTATGATTATAACCTCTTTCATTTATTACCATCTTTGTCTTTGATGCACTTGTCAGTGGGCATGCAAGATCCTGCATGTAGCTGCTATTGAAATGCAAAAGGGCAAGTTGTTAGGCAAGCAGTGTTGTTGGCCACAATGCTTGCATAATCAACATGGAAGCAATCTAGATTAAAGAGGACAAACACTTAATATTCATTTCCTCAGTAGCATTATCTTGTATCTTGTTTTCTCTTGCACTGAGCATGTTTATATAATCACTTTCACCAGAGTGTGGTGAGGGTTGCACAACAGAGCGAGGCTCCAAATTAAGTGCACCCAATATCCCACTCATCCCACCCCAGGGGAGGACATCCATCACACAGTAATCTTGTGCGTGGGAAGTTAACGTCTCCTACCCCAACCCTGCAGGAGATGGGACCTCCATTTATTCGTCCCTATCCGAGAAGACTAGAATATTTAACCATTTCATGATGTTATAGAAAGGTAGCAAATTCTTCTCAATTATTTTAAGACCCTGAGTGTTGGTCCAGCCGGGGCTCGAACCCTCAACCTCCCGCACAACAGTCCAGTGCTCTATCCATTGAGCTAACAGGTAGGCGGTTAGCTCAATGGAAGCATCAGTTAACTTGCAGGTGACCAGTAGATGTATAGTGTGCCTGGGAGACAACAGTTCTTTTAACTATGGTTGAAATTTGTTGTAGTAAAACTATTTTGACAAATGTTACATTTCAAACCAAGCTGCATGTACATGTAAATAGAAAGTCAAAAATAGTAGTACATGTTGTTAGTTGATTTGTCATTTTTCACCAATCAATGAGGGGAATATCCCAAGAGAATAGCAAGGCTGTGCTCTAAGGAAAATTGAATGGAGGCCAGTGCTCTGAAACTGTGAACTCCAGGGGGCCAAGCATCTGCTTTGTATGAAAAAACTAAGATTCCTGAGTTGGCCAAGAGCAAAAGTAAGGTGCCAGGGGCCACCAGGTGCTGCTAGAGCACAGCCTTGAATAGTCAGCCAACAACTCAGCCTTGTACATCCTAAGATCAGCATCCATATACATTTCCTTTCGTACTGTCAAGGAGAACTCAGTTAACAATCAAACCTTCTTATGTTGGAGATCATTTTCTGTATTCTTGTGCTTTTGATGAACTATTCAACAATTTAGTGCTGTAAGGAGAAAATAGGAGCTCAGGTCACTCAGAGGGTTGAAGTGGTGGATGGTAGTTTTGTGGTGTGTTGCATACCTTTATTCATAGTTTATACATATCTTGTATTGTGGCGTACTTTTTTGAACCTATTGACTCCACCAAGAGTTGGTGAATTGAACAAAAGTAGTATTTAAGAGTCAGTAGTTGTGTGGTCTTGAATCACTCGCTGATACGTTTAACTTTTTTATTGGCTAGATGCATCACGATCCTAAACCTAAAGACACAGATTCTGAGGATGAAGCAAGTGTAGAGAGAAAGAAACCAGAAGGTTCATGGTTCCCTCCCAAGCGAGAGAAAGGATTGAACACTAGTGATGTGAGTAATGCCTATACTTTCCATAGTTACATATTTATTTTTTTCTAAAGCCTGGGCCTTGTTTGTTAAAGAGTTTGGAGAGCAAACATTAAATGTTCAGGGGACAAAAATTTCTTTTTTTTTTATCTGAAACTTAGGATGAAGTGGAAAGTTAAATGATTAAATATGTGTGTGAAAAATGTAAAAAATTCAAGGGGGAAGGGTGGGCAAGTCTTCATGTGAAAGGCAGGGAAAAAAGCTTTTGTATTACAACACAGGGCTTGAGTGAACATTGAAATCAAACAAGTAGTTGTCAGGAGTTTTGACTGAAGTTACAGTAAATTCAGAGCAGTCTGATTAAATATACAAGGTGTATTATTTATTTACTGTCACTTTAAAAGTAGACTTTTTACTTTATTTGAAAGTTTCTGATATGATTAAGTTTACAGTGTATCTGTTCATATTTGGGTATGGATACAACCTTTGATTTTTGCCATAAATACTGTCATATTTTCCATTCAAGTATCAGGATATTTTTTGTAAACTATGTACTACTGGGCTTTTGGGTGGTAAATTATACATGATTACCAGTCAGACATAACGGTGTAAAGGAGTATCAAATCGGAATTCACAGAACAGGTTATGAAGTTCAACTGGATATCATACATAGTTTTCTTTGGACCAGCTTAATTTTCTGGTATGGAACATTGTCTTAAACTTGCTAAGTATATGAATCTTCTCTGATCTTTGATTGATCTTTTGACAGGACAATTCAGACTCTGCAAGTTCAGACAAAGGTTACTGGGTATGTGTGGTTCAGTTGATTAATTTTTGTTTACTTTTCTGCTGTACATGCATTTCCTAAGGTGAGTGTACAGCTGAAGCATTGTCAGAAGGTACAGTCCTTCATAATTTCTTCGCAGGGTTACTTTCTTGTTGTAAATTTGTCAGCTTGTAATGTAATTTTTTTTCTCTTCTTTTTCAGTGTGATACTGAGAGTGAGGGAGAAAGGGTAAGAATCATCTTTGAATGTCAATTTTGGTCAAGGCAAACAGCAGTTGTATCACACATGCGAATTTCAAGAGGGCTGAGTACCCCTTCAACTTAAGATTCTGGGTGTGTTACAACAAAAGAGTAAAATGCCTGAAGGTATTTTGATTAATGCAAAGGTCTCAATAAGAGCTGGTTACTAAACTGCTTGAGCCACTTATGTAATACCTCTTACTGCCTTCTGTAATGATTTTTTTTTTTTTGTAATATTTGAATGGTCCATTTTATGTTAACATCTACCAATTCCATTAATGGCAGATGCTTTTCTAAAATGTTATTGAGAACCCTGTCTACAGCGACTTAGTTGGAAAAGCGGGGAAAGTGTGTTATGAGCTGTTTGGTGATGATCCAGGATTTGACATAGTTATTAGTTATTTTGAATTCAAATTGTCCCTTCCTCAGTCAACCAATTTTTTTTTTTTATTTACCTGCTTGTCAGCTGCTGGACTTTGCTAAGCCAGCTACTTGTATCTTTTCCATTAAATTTAAAGTGAGACTCTTTTTAAAGTTGCCATCCCTGTATGATTCCAAAAATGTAATATTGATAATAATTTTCAAGGAGGCTAAGTTCTGTAATGTAGTCTTGCATAAAACTGTGAAGGGTTGTGTATTGAAAACATTTTCTTAGTACACCTGATACTTATGAAGGTTTTACAAAATTAACTCCATGTATCATGTCAAATTTATTTCTGGAAATGTAAATACTTTTTTTTATTTATTCACATGTTATATGTACACAAGAATTATGTAAAATGTATGAAATTAGCACATAGCTCTATTTTTTACCCTCTGACATATTTTTACCACCCTTCTTGTGCAGTGAAATCCTGACACCCCAGGTAGCCAGAAAATCCCATCCTGGTTTAATCATTGTGCAGTTTCAGATAATTTGAGTGAAAAAGCTTGTAACAGAATGCACTTTTGCATTTTAGATGTCTGACACTGAATCAACTGCAATTTCATCTGCACCGAACAGTAAGTGGTTAAATTTACTCAAATCAAACCATGTGTTTTAAACAGTAAATTTAATCAAATAACAGAATAAAAGTTCTGTAAATCTGAGCCTCAAATTATATAAATCCATGATATCCATGATCATGGTTGGATTTGATGTTTGATCCACATAACTTCCAGAAATTATTAACTTGCAAGTTCTCCTCACATTATGCATGAATTGTCAATCAGACTGATGATTGGAATTGGGAAAAATTTATCAACTTAAGACTAGTGTGTTTGTAGATAGAAGCCCGAATTCTTTTCACTTACCTTTATAGACATGCATGACAACTAGATAGGAGAATTACTTATTTGATCTTTTGATTTGGAGGGTGAAGCATAGGAATAACATTTGAAATGTTTTTTTTTTCCTTTCAGGTTCATTGTTGAGTGTTAAGACAACAGTTTCTACCACCAAACCAAGCGGTACTGAAACAAAAGATAAAGAGACGGAGAAGAGTACACCAAAACCTTCAGAGTGGACAAGGTTAGGGAGTGATTCGCCTTTTGATCCCGAAATGTTACAAGCAGCTAATTTCTCCATACAAATATCACACTTAAATCACGCATTGAGGTAATGAGAATAAAGGAAATGATCATCAACTAAAGATGCTGTTGATCGTTAAACAAATTCTCCTTGTGAGCGCATTAGGTAATTTAGAGAGAACAGTGTGGAGAATATGCAAACAGATGCGTGGCAAGAGTCAAGGCATATTGTAACACCTCGATTATAATTGTATTTAACAGACGTATCTATTTGTTTATTTGTTTATTTAGTTCTTTATGATTGTATTTATGTACATGCTGATTTTCTGCGTCGCCAATTAGCTTCAACTTAATTAACCCTTAAATTCCCAAGATCCAACCAGTAATTCTTCGTACTGACCGTCACGCATTTCCTGGTTAATGAGACCAAAACATAATTTTGATGTTATGTCATGATGGCATCCTGCAACTAACAATATTGTCTGCCCTGAATATCAAAGCGATCTTCGCAGTGATGAATACCACTTGAGCAGTTGTAAAAATAATAAGGCCTGAAAAAAAAGTCAGGCCCCAGTGTATGGGCAGTTCACAGATATGATTTTTACAGTCATCGTTGTCTGTTCTCATAACCTTGTAAATTATCTCTGGCGCTGCTGTGTTACCTTCGAAGGAGAGAGCTAATGAGGTACTTAGTCTATTCCAGAGACACAGCCCGAGCTTTATAAACCAGTTAGCTAGACAACGGACATACCGATTTGTAACTCATCACGAAGTATTATTATCCCTTGTGCTAAATTGTGCTGTCTGTTCATGTTTCAGTTCCACGTCTTCTTCCTTTTCAACTGTAACAACTCAGCGTCCCAGCAGCCATGGCTCGACCAGTGCTTCCACAAGCTTACACCTGGCTCTGACGACCACTACCACCACGAGTCACCCCATGACCCCCACATTTGGACACGCCCATCATGGCGGCTTGTTCCCCCACTTTCCGTCCTTCCATCCCCACCCTGGTGCCCTAGGATATCACGGACCACCGCCTGGCGAGTCACCTTTTCCGTATCCAAGTAATGCACCAGGATTTAGATACGTGCTCCACATGACCTCATACCTCCCCCCTCCTTCATTAATTGAAGAGCATTTGGTCCACAGGGGGGTGGGGTTAGGCGTGGAAGCTCGTGCTGAGTCATGCACTTTGTTAAGAAGTTTGTACTGCACCTTTAAACTGCACTAGTCTAGTTACATTTGTGGTTCACTCAGTTAGTGACGTGTTATTAGGAAGTCAACGAGAGCAGCTACAAAAATTCAGAATTAGTAGCGGATAGTTGACAGGAAATCCAGGGTATACATATATGTCCGCCAAAACGCAAATGACATCATACTGTATGTGATTTGAAACAACCCAAACTGGTAGCACATGGTTCATATTATTGTCCTTCTATGGTGAGATAACCCTTCTTGGAATTGAATCACACTTGTCCGTGCACAAACCTTTTATTTCCATTATTTCCGATCTTCGTCCAAAGCGCAGGCGAAAATAAAAATGCCGCGGTTGATTTTCAGAACGTAGATTCAGCGGGGTGGGGTAGAAGAAGAGGAAGTGCTCCGTGGTTGGACTCGCGCTCCGCGCTTGCTCACGGACGTTAGGTTCGTGTTTCCTCGCTAAACTATGGCAAAGAACGTGAGTGAATATACTAGAATTTTTCCTCTTCCTGCTGTTACTTCAGCAATAGCCGTCAAATGTTTGCTGTTTCTGTTTTTGGTGTCAGTTTTACCAGCCTCAGAGAAGAATTAGACGACATAACGATTTGTTCTCGATGTGATATCGACACATTTGTTTCTTTCGTGTTCTCGTCTAGGGGAGAGTTTTAGGTGACATCTGACAGATTAGTTGAGCCTGGTCACGTTTTGATTTATTCTTCGTCAATCTTTTATATCCCAAATCATTTTCCTGCCTTTTTTGTTTTTATGAAGTCTTGAATGTTTTTCCGGCTTAGAAAACTTAAAAGTGGTTTTCGCGTCAGCCCTATGTTTAGCTAGACACAAGGCAGGTGGTAAGTCTGGAAAAACACGAAAGTTGCGTAGGAGTGGGTCGAGGCGTAGCCGCTAGCAAGTCGAGCTTTTTGAGTGCTCTTCAAACTTCCCAAGTGCTCTTAGATCTCGATGAGCAAACAGCTGACGTGAGAACTAATGCTCCAGACATTTTCAACGCGGTTGTTGAAATGTTGTCTAACGAGAAATTTCCTCTCACGCTTCAACTCGTTCTTACTTTTCATAAGTGTGCACGGTGGGAATATGAACCGACGCAAATTATTTGTTTATCAGAAATGTCTTAACTATGCCGCAGTTATGTTTTCTGAACCCCTTTAAGTGGAACGGGCATTTTGTAGACTGCAAAAAACAACAACAACAAAAAAAAAACAAAAAAAAAAGAACCGCAAAAACAAAACAAAAGAAGCAAAAACAAAATAATAATAATAATAATAATAATACTAACAATAATAGAATAGAATTATAGATTCCGTTGTAAATAGATTTTAGCACTTTAAATAACGCCATTCCTCATTTTTTCATAACAACAGCAACAGTAGTATGATAATAATATTAATAACAATAAAATAAAAATAATACGACGGTAACAACATCAAACATCAAAAAGCCAAACAGCCTATTGGGGCTTCACAAGGCACTTTACGATTTATCCTTAGTGTACATCTTATGTATCTGCTAAAGTTAACAATCTCCTTGCAGGTCCTGAATTTCTCCGTCACGAACTTAACAACCGTTTCCTGCAGTCGCAAGCAGCGGACAGGGTTCCCCCCGGGGTGAGCCCGTCTCAGCTCATGCATTACGAGTCTCATCAACACCATCACCAACATCTTCACCAACATCAGCATCAACATCAACACCAGCATTTCCATAGCAACGGTGGGCAGGTGGCAACACCACAGGTATGCCAATCTGGTTTGAATCCTGCTATACGTATTGAGTAGATGGGCCACTGAAATTTTTTTAAGTGTATTATTTGTCCACATTTCGTTCGCCTTATGAAAAATATGAGGTTTGCGAGAGCAAAGGGTTGGGCTCGGTCGGTTGGGGAGCCAAAGGTTGTCAGTTACCAACCGTTTGCAAAAGTTATGTCATTTCCCACCTTCGCGACTGTAAAGCTTTCACTGATACACCTTTGATGATATGTATGTATGTTGCCTCCCTATTCGTAATCTTTTGTACTCCAAATAAACTAAATAAAGAACGTAATCACGGACGTTTTAACGGAAGGCGACGGAAGGGTGAATGGAAATGGCTAGGGAACTCGTTGACCGCAATCAAAAGTTAGCAAGATTTTCTGAGAGGCGATAGCAAGCAGAAATTGAGATATAGATAGGAAGGGAGGGTGACCCGACTCGAGGGATTACAGCCTTTTTCACTAAAAGTTAAAGACGATTAATCCTTTGATACCTTCGGGAAATGATCTCTGGACTTCCGGCTGCCATGCGCGTCTCAGAAATGCCCGTGCTCAGCTCAGATCGATAAATTTGGCCTGTGGGGCGGGTTGGATTTCGCTTTTCGGGCGGCGGTGTCATTTGGAGGGTGTAACTGAGATGGTCTCTGCCGCTAAATTGAGAAACCCTTCAGCTGAACAGGCTAGAAGATACTTTTATTTTTCGGTGGCGGGTAGGGAGTAATAGTCATCAAGGTTGATGCTACCCTGCGAGCAGAGGCCCTTTGATCTTCCAAGATTAGTCGGGAAGAGAAAGGAGCCCCTGCACGCCGCCTCGACCTTCCCTGTTGAGCCGCTCATCCACCGAAGCGGATGAGTCAGTCCGGTTGGAAACCAGTTTTCCCTGCTTCGGCTCAGTGCGCATACGTGTTGTTAGAAATTGCTGACTAAATAGGCGCCCACAGTTCATTGTTTTCGCTCATGAATTTCACAAAATGGCGGCAGTTTCTCTTCCGAAGGATGTGTTGGATAAAGCTGTGAGAAGTGCTCTCGATAAGGTACTCGTGGAATAGATGCTCTTACTAAACATCAGTCAAAGGCATTGCTTAATTTCCTGTGTGGTAAATATCAGACGATTCCATGGAATCGCCTGTCCGAGTCGTTCTTGAAACTCGCGGGAAGTTGCGACAAAATGAATAGTTAATTGCTCACGGAATCGAGGCTGAGCAAGTCTCGGTTACATGAATTTAACACATGCTTAACAGGGAAAGTCGAGGCGGCGTGCAGGGGCTCCTTTCTCTTCCCGACTAATCTAGGAAGATCAAAGGGCCTCTGCTCGCAGGGTAGGTTGATGCGTTTTCACACGGGGTCCGTACGGGTTTTGTTTAATCTTGAAAGTCTTGGAAATGAAAAACATCTTTTTCCAGGCTTGGAAAGTAATGAAGTGCAGAACGACCCCGCCACAATTTCTTTTCATGTAGTTTTGGTATTCACTGTTCACGGCCATAGGGCAAGGGAAACCTACAAAAGATATTGAAAATGTCTGGGAATTCAATGATTTTGCAAGAGAACCATCGCCGTGACAAAAGAGGCCATATGGGTTGGATTCTCGTCATGTAGTGGGAGTTATTTTTTCCCCTCCCATGTGGCTGTGTACTCTAAGTATGCTGTGTTTTTGTGTCTTTCCCAGCTTGGAATCCCTCCTGTTGGCCCTTGCAGCCCAGTACCTCCCCCCCTTATGCCAAAGGTACTGTTTTTTTTTCCTGTTATGTTTATTGAGGACGATTTCTCACGACTATAAATCTTCTGTAAAATAAGCGAGAAACATTTGCATCAACCAATTTCCGATTTGCTTTGATTAGGTTTTGGTTTTTTTTACTACTCTGAGCTCATCAGGCCACTGAAATGAAGATTTAACAGAATTGAAGACTTAATAGATGCGAGTTCTTTCTCGTTTAGTTTGCCTTGCAAGTCGTTTGAAAACCGTTCCTGAGAAAACATTTTGGGGAAGGCATAACCCACCAAAACGTTTGTTTTAGACCCAATGGGAAACCTTGTTATTTCCATTCTACTCTGTTGTTGTTGTTTTTTTCTTTTTCTTTTTCTTTTTCTTTCTTTTCTTTTCTATTTTTTCTTTTTCTTTTCTTTTTTTTTTTTAACGTAAATTGATGTTCATGTTCATGGCGATTTTATTTATTCACGGTCTGGTTGTGGTTAATGACTTCATGATTGATCTTAGTTTGTTTGCTTGTTTTCTATTTTCCAACTTGAACACAGAAACCTGGAAAATGGTGTGCAGCTCATGTTCAGACAGCATGGCAAATTTACTATCATCAGCAGAAGGTAAGCCTAGTTTCTCTTTGTTTTTATGAGTTTTTGACGAGCAATCAATGGACCTTCGGTGGGCAAGCGAGAAAGTGCCTCTTTTTGCTTCAAACAGTGAACTGACGAGAGGCGCTGAGAGTTCGCCATCAAAGTGTCGAGCTTGACGCGAACCGGCGGAGCAGGCAATAACTTGGGCCAAATCATGAACATAAAAGGCACAAAACGCCGCAGTGTCTCGACAAATCATCTCCATTCTTGATTTTAAACATTACAAACCAGATTACAGATTACTTAGAGGCGAAAAGGCTGAATTTAGGTGACAGATACCTCCAACAAACCACTGCGGGATTTTTGTTTCCGCAACAAGTCACCGTAAATTGATTTCTCGTTGCCATTTACTTCTAAATTCAAACCGGTTTGAATTTTTGAGACTTTTTTTTGGGTTCAAAACTCTGGCGCAGGAACGATGACTTTCACAAACATTTCCCCGTATCAGACTAAGTTTATCGTCACCTTCCCTGTGACGCGTCATTGGGCTTTGTCGTTTGGTGAACGAAAGCTGCTAAATCTCCTCCTTTTTGTCCTTTTCTTTTCAGGTTCAGGCAGAGTTACATAAAGATCCTCATGTTAAACCAGACCAAGTGCCCATCAGTAGGTCAGGCGCTTGTCTCTCGTTGCACTCTCGCCCTAGCAATCATGAAGCGCCTCCGTATCACGTCCATGGTCCTGGAGCCGTCAGTCCAGTCGCTACACCTGCCACTCCTGCTGGTTTGTATTATCGTCTTTTGTTGTCCCCTTCGACCCTTTTATTCGTCTCCTTTAATTGGAGTAGTAGCTGTACAAACGTCATCATCAACTGTATCGAAAGCACCCTGTTCAGAGAGCAGTCTTTCTTTATCGGTGGTTAGATGGTTTTCTTTCGAATTCCTCGTAAGCAGCTTTAACTCCATTTCATGTGACTTACCTTTACTAACTATTCTGGTACTTCTGGTTCCTCTGCAGCTGCTGGTCCATTTCTGGCAGGAACTCCCATTCCTACACCCCACAGTACCAATCATGGTATCGCGCACCTAAGTGGGGGATCCGTTGGCATGCCGGCGGCCCCGCCTGCCATGATGGGTCTGGGCGGTAGTCCCGTTGGGGGATTGAGATCGGGTCTCGGAGCATCTATTTCCAGTCCTTTTCGAAGCATTGGGAACAGTAGTTTCAGCGGACTGGGCAGCTCACTAGGCCTGGGCTCTAGCTTTAGCAGCGTTCATGGAGTGAAACCCGAGTGGAATCGTATGTCAAGCAGTCCGGCGGCTTATCATTCCTGGCTTAGTCGTGAAACGGAACGAGAAAAAGAAAGAGAAAATGGGCGTGAAAGAGAGCGGGAACGTGACCGAGAGCGTGAACGTGAACGTGAGCGCGAACGTGAACGTGAACGTGACCGTAGTGGCGAACGAGATCAAGACAGAGATAAGGAGAGAGGGAGACCCGATTCGAGGGACAGAGGAAACCTTTTGCCGGGAAAAATCCCAGAGAGGGAGCGTGCAGCACTTCGTGTCTCAGACGAGGAAGGCGATAGTAGTCAAAGGTTTCGAGACAGAGATAAGCCCGTGGAAGGACGAAGATCGCCGATCAGACCCAACCACTCGACTGGTTTTAACATCGCCAATCTAACAAGCACAGAGCCTAAACCGGAAACATCATCTGCGCAAGAAATGCGCAGTTCGTTCGAGCGCGAGCGAAGCTCATCGACCTCTGCCACAGTTAGCAGTGTTCTTTCAAGCGGAAGGAGGGAAGAGCCTAAATTACCCGGCGACAGAAGATCTTCTGAGGATCACGATCTTGTTATTTTATCAAGTGACAGACATAGCGGTGGCCATTCACATGGCGTCTTGAGTTTTATGGACAAACGGAATATTTACGATGACAGAGACAGACCTCGCGAACCATTCGACCTTGCTCGTTTTGCAACGCGCCCTCCGGTGCCGCACCGTATCGGTTTATACCCCCCACCTCATGCTCATCCCCACCCGTATTCTCTTCCCCACAGCCACGCACATCCTCACATCGCTCCTCCCCCTCTCTTTGCACATGGAGGGTCCTTTGCGAACCCGTACCTCGGTGGTTCCGCCATGTCAGCAGTAACACACCCACCAGGCATACCGGGATTTCTTCCCCCACGTGGAATGCTGGGACTGGCACTGCCTGGCTTGGGACCGCGAAGTAGAAGTCCTGGTGATGTGGTCGCCGTTGAGCACGCGCGAACTGCATCGGACATTCTATTGGCTGCTGCTCCGGAAGGCAGGCCATAAGCTACACAGTGTACATAAATTGCAGTGGCGTGGGGTCGGGGCCTGTTTTGTCAAGGCTCCAAGACTACGTATGCTTGTTAGTTTAGGTTAGGTTTATTCATGTAACATAGCGACTGCTGATGCGGAAAACGCTGTCATACTCTTTCACTTGTCCTCTAATCGATGGTGAGAGTTAGTCACTGGCTTCACTTATATGATACGACTATAGTTTGCAAAACCAGATGTTTAGTGCGTAATGAATATGTTGAGCTGATCTTTTAGATAAGTGGAAGATTATAATTCAGATTCTTGTTATTTATGACTTGATAAAACTGGAAACGCTAGCCCTTGCTCAGAAGAAATGTCCATACAACTTTTGATCAAGGGCTAGCGCTCCAAAAACCAGAATTCTGGGAGAGAAATGAGGACAGACTAAGCTCACTAGTGATTGGCATTTATTGAGAAATTTTTCTTTTCCTTCACATAGTTAAGATGTACATTTGAGAGCGCCACAGAAGACAAAGTTAGTTGTTTTGTTGCGTTTTCTAATAGTTTCAAAAAGTTACTAAGCGCTTGAGTCGTGGAAAGCAGTTGCTTTTTTGACAGTAACGCGCCTCTTCAAGAAGTATGCAAGCCCTGCGTTTTGCCCACTAATGACATAGAGTTTTCTGTGACTGGTCGTTTTCAGTGAATAAGGGTTGAATTCCGTGCTATGACATGTTACCGAAGGTTACTAAGTTGCGCGATCGGTTCGACCCGGCTGCGCTCACTGTGTTGCCATAGTGACACACTGAAAGATAAACGAAGACGTATATGAAGAGCATAAGTGAATCAGCAACAGACCAAACAGGTGTTTTTTTCCCGCAGTGTTCAGTTTTAAATTCTTGCCATTTAGAGGCCTTTTTCTGAAGCAAAAAGTTGATTCCAGCACATCGACCCCGTTGCTGCGGATTTCGTGTACCATTTGCTATTATTATCCAATTTTGCTGTAGAAATATTTCTTTTGGAACATTCATCGCGATCTTTGCGCAGACTTATGTACATTTTGATAAATGTAGAACAATTATTTGTATTTTCCTCAAAAGTACTACTAGAGAGAAAGGAACATATAGAGGAAATCGATTTAAGTTTAACCAATTCCCATATTTACAAGTGAGGAATTAAATTATTTGCCCTCCAGCGTTAACAGTGTGAGACATCTCTTGTTGTCACCGCTTCTTTTCTGAATATGACAAGGTCCTGAGTATAACGGGTTAATGCGTGTGAGAAAGTACGTCGTTTGACTTAACACGAGTTTAGCAAATTTTTTTGCGCAAGAGGAGAACCTTTGCTCGAAGTGGGGTGTCAACCAAAGCTTATACTGCTAGGCCCAGCTGTACAACGGGTGTTTTCCGATGGATAGATCGTGATCTCCTGGACAAGTGTTCACGAAAAGTACTGCTTTATCAACCGGACAGCTTCGAAATTTAAACCTGGACTAGAGTGGAAAATACTTTCAAATCATTGTTAGTTTTTTTCTTACAGTCACTTACGGGAATGATGGTAATGAACATGCTATGGGGATGCGAGTATTATGCACGATCCTCGCAGTATCTATTACCGCAGTTCAAAATATATGAACTTCATATATTCATTGTAGCAAATATATTGCTGCCCAATGAGCATCTTCCTCCGATAAGCGCCTCCATATAAAAAGCATTCAAAGAAGACTTCAAAATGTTGTGAGGATATCAGTGAAACACTCGTCTTCGCTTCGTGTGCTTGTTTCTTTTTTTTTTTTTAATCGCCTCCATATAAAAGGCATTCAAAGAAGACTTCAAAATGTTGTGAGGATATCAGTGATACACTCGTCTTCGCTTCGTATGCTTGTTTTTTTTTTTAATCGCCTCCATATAAAAGGCATTCAAAGAAGACTTTAAAATGTTGTGAGGATATTAGTGAAACACTCGTCTTCGCTTCGTATGCTTGTTTTTTTTTTTTTTAATCGCCTCCATATAAAAGGCATTCAAAGAAGACTTCAAATTGTTGTGAGGATATCAGTGATACACTCGTCTTTGCTTCGTGTGCTTGTTTTTGTTTTTAATCGCCTCCATATAAAAGGCATTCAAAGAAGACTTCAAAATGTTGAGGATATCAGTGATACACTCGTCCTCGCTTCGTGTGCTTGTTTTTTTTTTTTTTTTAATCGCCTCCATATAAAAGGCATTCAAAGAAGACTTCAAAATGTTGTGAGGATATCAGTGATACACTCGTCTTTGCTTCGTGTGCTTGTTTTTTTTTTAATCGCCTCCATATAAAAGGCATTCAAAGAAGACTTCAAAATGTTGAGGATATCAGTGATACATTCGTCTTCGCTTCGTGTGCTTGTTTCTTTTTTTTTTGTACTTGCCACATTTTGACGCCATTTGTGATCTATTTCTGAACCGATACGCACGACAGCAAGCAATCTATTTGTTGAGTTGATTATACAAGCCGTTATCAAAAAGATCGATACAGGAATCGAACTCTTAAAGAAGAGTGTTACGTCATTTTTTGGTCTTGTTAAAATATTTGCGATACCACAAACCCGAGTGCATGTCTTCTCAAGATATTTCCATAGACCGGCGCAAGTTGTACGTGACCGAAACTTATACCTAGTTTTAATGAAAACGTACGCAATCAGAAGTTACTAATTGGTGATCACCTTACTGTATATATATGTATATATATATATATATGACGTCTTAGTCTTTTTGACTATCCCTTTTTCACAAGATTTGGCATTTACCTCAAACAGTCACGTTGAGTACATACCCCTAGTTCGTGACAAAACAGCGTAACGCAATCAAAACATTTTGATCACGTGTTAAGTTTCTACAATCCCCGGATTTATGAATTAAAAATTTGGCGGCCATATATGATAAGTACTTGTCTACCAGTTGTTTCTAAGACAAAACTCACATTGGAACGTTAGTAATAATCTATCGCAATGTTTTCCTTCAAGAAGAAGGACAAGGATAAGGACAAAGCTTTCGAGACGAAAGAAGAACGCAGGGAAAGGCGAAAGAAAGAGAAGGAAAACAAAAATAAAACTGATCGTAAAGCTCGTGGCGAACTAGGGAACATAGTTGCTGGCACTGAGGAAGAAAGACGAGGACGGTTTAGTTTTAGAAAACCGGATAAACGGAGATACGATGTTGAGCACGATTATGATCAAAGAAATCCCTCGCCTGTAGCTGACCATTTTGACTTTTATGGTGGGAAAGGTCGTTCAAGTAGTACTGATACAACTGGTAGTACAACAAGCGGTTCGGCCATTTTTTCTCCATATTTGTATGGATCTTCTGGCCATATTTCTTCCAACGCCGTCATGTCCGAATCGATTCCGCAAGCAAATCGTAAACATGCAGACGACGAAAACCAAGGGGTTTCGGAGGACGGGAAACCTGTCCCGAAACCCCGAGTTAAGAGAAAGAAAAGCTCGAGTATTGAAATCAAGTTGCTAAGTCCGAACCGGCAGAGTTACGAGTCTCAAGATCGAGAAAAGACAACCAACGAGGAGAAGGAACGAAACCACAAAGCAGAAGTTAATGGCACTTCTTCAATTAATGCAAGGTCTTCTGAAGAGGTTATATCTGCCTCGTCGATGAACGATAATCATGTTTTGACCGATGGCGCACCGCCTAAACCTCCGCGTATTTTAGCTGATCGCGCCGGTGTTGTCGAGTTCGAAGTTAAGCTGATCAATGTTGGTTCTGAAAATGATCGAAACAAACCTAATTCTCAGCGTTCCATGGAAATAGATCGACCTATCACTGCTACGAGCTCTGTGCAATCTTTCGCTGGGCCACCAAGCGAACCAAAAATTATTTTGCCACCAAGAGATCTAAACAATTCCTCGCCGTCGATTCTGTCTCCTTCGGATAAAACCTTGGAGGAAATGGGGGTCGATTTGCAGCTACCGGAAGTTAAGCCGGCCATTTCTGGTATTGCAAGGGTGATAAAGTTAAATAGGCGATCTAGCGGAGATTTTGGGTTTGCTCTGAGGAGAGCTAATGCCCCTGGAAGCGGGAAAACTGTTCACTTTGTGGAACCCGTTGGCCCAAATAGCACACCGGGTTTGCTTCCAGGAGATCGACTTGTGGAAGTCAATGGAGTAAACGTTGAAAATGAACCGAGAGAAAAGATTATCGAGATGATTGTTATGTCGGGAGAAGAGGTAGTTATTAAAGTTATTCCCGTGCCGGAACTTTCAGAATTGAGCGTGAGAAGTGGTTTGGATGGATCGACTGTTCAACTTGACGAGTCGAATCTCAAGGCCGGGACTTTGGCTCGAAGTGGAAGCAAAAGAATTAAAAAGAAGGTGAGTCCAGCCCCTTGGTGTTAAGTAAAATTTCTGCTAATACGCTGTAGAATGTACAAATGGAATTCTGAGGTAAATATCTCATAGCGTTCATTTTGTGTACTTTGTTGCCTACATTCTGTTAATATTCTTGTCAAATGAATTTGTAAATGCCACGGTCGTTGATCACTTGGAATTTACCGTGTGATGATGTACATGTTCTGACTACAATGTCAAAACATCCCAGCGGTTGGTATTGCAATACCGCATCCTGAAATAGTTTTAGTAAAGCGCTATTTCATTTGAAGTATTCGTTTCTGATCTTGTTAAAATTTTCATTTTTGCAATGCCTCAGTGGTTCGAATTTGCATTAGAATGGGTTTCCTTGTTAAAATTCTATTATGGTTAATTACTGCATAGTGTAAAATGTATAGGACTTGGTTCATTTGACAAAGAATCACGTGAAATTAAGTTTGTGAGCTTTGTTCCCTGTTTTTAAAAACATGCCACTCTGACATGGAGTGAACACGGCCTTGTCAAAACATGGATATTGCCCTGTACAAGATTCTGATCTCCGAGAAATATATTGAGTTTCTGTTTACAGGAGTTCTGATGGGAATGTCAAGACATGGATATTCTTTTAGTCCAATTTGGGTTTTTGAATTTTACCCTACTACCTTAAGATTACTTTAACCAACATATCCAGAAGAAATTTAGTTCCAATGTTTTTGTTGCTGCCCTCAAAGTTTTGTCTGTTGTTTTTGTCAACATGCTTAAGCCATAGTATTTTTACACTGTCTATTATTTGAAAGAAGAAAGTTTGATCAAATTCAGGAATTGATTGTTTTCTTCATTTGTGCATCTTTCAAACATAAATGGATTAAAATAGAAAACCCCACTGCTTTATTCTATGACATTCTGAGGGTTTTTTTTTTTTTTTTTTTTTTAACGGATGAATGCTATTATGATAATTTAGTTAATGCCCTAGTAATGTTTTCTATAACACAACGTTTTGTTGAAAATATAATTACAAAAAAACAGAGTGAGGTTACTAAGGAAATACAATGGTCCTTCTCAGTTACTGTTAATTGCATTAATTCTTACATTCTCCTACTTAAATATCTTATCATGGATTTGTATTCAGAGGAATTACACCCAATAGCTTTGCCTTTGACAGCTTCTGTTTTCAAAATGGTGGAACAAAAGGTGCAAAGGCTATAAATATTTCACAGACTTTAAATTATTTGGTTTACATCATGTTAAAATTAAGATGCCGAATTATTAAATATCTTGTGATGGAACCTCTCTTAAAGTTTAAGGCTTGTTTGAATGCCATTGCTATCTTAATGTGATTGAAACATGATTTAGGATTTTTAGATGTTTTCAGATACAAGCTAGTTTTTTTTACTATGGACATATGTGTAGCAGAACCACATTATTTACACTTTTTCCATTCGAAATATGTGGTAATGACCTTAAGGAAGCAAAGAAGTTTTTAAATTGATTCTTATCTCAATATGTTATGTTTCAATTTGGAAGTTACATTTCTTTGTTTTCCTGGATGAGTAATTTAATACATGTACTTGATTGAAAGGTAAGTGCATGTTAGGGCTACTGTTAGATGTTAATGTTACTTTGGCTATGTTTATATGACACTCAGTGAAAAAATTCTCTAATTTCTCCACTTTTAACTCTTTATATTCTAGCCCAAATCTGAGGAGGAGGTGAACTCACAAAAAGCTTGGTTAGATGCTGAGAAAGTGTGGGTTGTTCACAAGGCAGGATTTTCTGGAGGAAGAGTACAGAAGATTAAGGAGGACAGACAAGAAGATGAAACTCCTATGTGTAAAGTGAAGTTGGATCATGGTGGTGAAATTATTACTATTGAAGAGGACAGTGTTGAAAAGGTTTGTTTAGTGTATTCTTTTACTGTTTTCAGTTGTTGTTTTTTTTGTTTTGTTTTTTGTTGGTTCTTTTTTTTTTTTTTGAGTGACATTAGCTGTTATTTTAGGTTTGTTGTTATTGGAGATGTGGAAGAAGGTTTTGTTGAGCCCCAGCTGGCTTATTGTGTTTTGTTCTCGGGAAAGATGCTTTGCACTTTTAGTTTCTTACTTTATCCAGGCCTAGATTATCTGAAGGGTGGACAACCCCATTGACTGGGTAAATCTCCATCTGGCTGTATAGTGATTTATCTACTGTACCATGTCATCCTCCATTTTAACGGCTGAGTCTTTATAGGTACCAGCTTATTGTTGGGGGGTAAACTGGACTAATGTCCTGTCAATAAGGAAGAGACATGCTCCAAGTTGTTAAAAGCTAGAAGAACTCAGGATAGGAAAGAGTTATGGGACCATCTGGTGAAAGACTTACTGGAAATAAAATGGCAATTTTGTTGGAAAAAGTCTTTCGCCAAGTAAAATATTTATGTTTATGTATTCATCATTTTAGGCGAATCCCCCTCAGTATGACAGAGCAGAAGATCTTGCCTCCCTGCGTTACCTAAATGAATCAAGCTGCCTGCACACCCTACGGCAACGGTTTGGCAGTAACCTTATTCACACCTATGCTGGACCCAACTTGATAGTTGTCAACCCACAGGAGGAGTTGGCTATTTATACTGACAAGGTAGTTAAGAGGCTCTGAAAAAATACTTGACTGCACTTTAACATGTTGAATTTGAAGTTCAAAGTGCTGGTTAGAATGTGTTTCTAAAGGAACATTGACTTACTGTCTTTAAAATCTGAAGCAATTTCCAATTGAAACACGGACACATTGGGTGAAACTGTAGTGGAATTGTGCAGTTTGAAAAATTTCCAGATTGAGGAAGCAAGTGACTTATTTTAAGTGCATTAGATCTTGCAAGCTACTACCCTACTAAAGATGTTTAATACAAAATGCTTAAATAACTTGACATAAATAAAGTTAGGGAAAATCAAAGTCTGAGTACCTTTGCTAACTGTTGATGGGATACCAACAGGTGATACAGATGTTCCGTGGCTGTAAACAGGAAGACATGCCACCCCACATTTTTGCTGCTGCGCAGTCAGCGTACAGAAACATGTTGGCAACCAGAATGGATCAGTCAATTGTACTAATGGGACACAGTGGATCGGGGAAGACTGTCAATGCCAAGCATATCATGCATTATTTAGCAGCTGCTGCCAGTTCTCCTCACTCAGCACTTACGGGTGAAAATTAGTTCTTTCTCTTTCTACTTACCTTTCCAACTCCCACGATGCTAAAATCAATTCTCCCTAGTCTTTGCTATATATATATATTTTATTGAACGTTTAAGAATTTAGTGATTTATCAAACCAGATATATGACTTGATAATTTTCTTTCCTCTCATAACCTTTCTGTGTGCCATGATTATATTGCTATTGTAAGAAAATTACAAAGTATTCCCTCCAAGAATAGAAGTTTAGACTAGGGTGATGTTTTTACGGTTAACTTTTACATTGTAACCTGTACAACCTTGGCTCCTAAAAAGGGTCTTTGAGAGGTTTAAAATGAGGTTTTTTTTTTTATGTTGCTGCAAATATGACTTGAAGTTTCTTTTAATGGAAACTCTGCCTCTTATCAGAGGTCTTTGCAAGCAAATATTCAGGGGTTTCATTAATGTTTTCTGCAGGAGGGCAACTGTTTTTCACAGGCGGGCAAAACTCTGAACTGAACTTCTTTATAAGATAAACTTTCCTCCAGACCGTCAAATCAGGTGGGCAAAACCGTCTTCACAACCGGTCAATTTGCCCGGTGCCTGGCCCTTAATGAAACCCCTGAGATATTATTTTGCCTCACCTCAATGTGAATATTGTGATTTTGCTATAATTTATCCTTGATTAAATTGGGACAGTAGTTCCATTCTTTTTGTACATGCACATTTGGTTGTTCACAATCATGCAAAAAGAAGAGGAGTTTTCAAGCAAGATTAAAACTTAGTCAGGGCTGTACACTAACAGTAGCCAACTAGCCACAGACTAGTAGAAATTCAGTTTTGGCTAGTAGTTCTTGATTTCCCTCACCAGTTTGGTTAGTAAACAAACTGAAATTGTCATAACATCTAAGATGTCACGGGCCACTTGGCTAGTAAGTTGAAAAGTTAGTGTCAAGCCCTATTGGTGACAATATAGAAATGGTTTACCTTTAAAACAAAAGAGGATAGTTAATTTCAATTGCTCCTTGATTATTTTTAAATAAGCCAACTCTTTTTATTCCTTTAATTTTGATTTGTCATACAGAACTTGAAGACATATGCTAGTATGATTCCTAGTATGACGCTAGCTGACTGAGTCCCTTCTCTCCAATACTGTCCTTTTATTTTTTCTCGCATATAAGTGGTTTGTCTTAATACCTCCTTCTCTAGTTCAAAAGCTTGAAGCTATCTATGCTCTACTGGAGGCCTTTGGCAATGTGACAACCCCATTAAATCACAATGCAACAAGATTCACTTTGTTGTTCAACATGGATTTTGACACAGCAGGTCTCCTGACGAGTGCTTCAGTTCAGGTCAGTGAGAAAAGGCACTGCAAATGTATGTCCTATATTTATTTATAACAACTTTATTGTAATAATCAGTACAAAAGGCTGCCATCAGAGAGAACTGAATCCTCATGTAAGATGACCCCCAAAGATATCTACAAAGCTATGAAGGAAATATAAATCGAATAAAAAGTATTTGTGAGGAAAAATGGAAAAAATATCACTAAAAGATATCTATCAGAATGGAGTTATAAAAATCATCTAATTAAATATGCAATCTCAACAATTTTATATTCATCACACACTAGTTAAAAAGTGTACTTAAATTTTGACAATGAATCGGCACATATTAGAGAATCTGGTAACGAGTTCCATTTATCTATATATCTATGCCAGAAAGAGAATTTTAAGATCATATTAGTTCTTGAAAAACGTTTCCAAATCTTCCTACTATTTCTTGAGCTATTGCGAGCATGAGAGAATGATAAATAATTATCAAGCTTAACTCTGGAGAAACCATTAATATATGTGTTATATGTGGTAAAGGATAATCAAAATAGATTTATTTTAGGTTCTTTTGGTAGCACACACTGGTGAGTTGTGATCATTACTCTTTTTGTTGGGTGGGAAGTGAGACATCCCTTGGATATAGGAATCTCCAGACCTTTCTGGTGTATATAGCTCATAAACTTTTCCACACCTTCCGCCTGCAAAAAAGTGTCTCACACTTTGTCATTGTTGGTTGTTCCAGACATTTCTCATGGAGAAGTCTAAAGTTGTCAGGCAATCAGAGGAGGAGAGCACTTTTAAAATCTTCCACTATTTGCTGTCAGGATGTGACCCAAAGCTGAGGTAAATATTTTGCTACTGGTGTTAAGCATATTCTGAGTAACAGAGAAAGGTTCTTTCTTTCCAACTAATTTTTACACATGACTGTACCCAAAAATGATGGGAAAATGAGGGTAAAATTGAACTATGACAGGGCTTGACACCAACGGTAACCAACTAGCTACAGATTAGTAGGAACTCAGTTTTGGCTTGTGGTTTTCGATTTTCAACAGCCAGTTTGGCTAGTAAACAAACTGAAATTGTCGTAACATCTTAGTTGTCACTAGCCACTTGGCTAGTAAGTTGAAAAGTTAGTGTTGAGCCCTGCATGATGTACAGTGCACATAATCAAATTCTACCAATCCCCTTCTTATTGAAGAGCATTAGCTACATGTGTCAGGTGCATGGTAAAAGATTTGTTCTCAATAGGTTGTACCTAGAGCAGTAGCTGAGTCATTTGAAAGTTTAGATAGACCTCAATAGGTTGTACCTAGAGCAATAGCTGAGTCATTTGAAAGTTTAGGCCTAAGTCTTCAGCAATGGAAATCATGTTGATAACCAGGTATTTTCTTTAATTTCCAGCCATTTTATATGGCTTTAAAAATTTGTGTGATTGCTTCTAACAGAAAGGAACTACAGCTGGAAGCAAAAACAAGTGAAACAAATGAGTTCATGCAAACATTTGATCCCAAGGTAGAGTAAGACTTACGTTACTTTAATTTTTTTTATGCCTTTAGTCATGTGTACGTAGAGCTTCTGGTTTTTAGAGATTGCGGGGAAAATTGTTTGATGTAAATCAAGAAATAAATTTGTTGAAAACCAATGCTTTACAGTAGAGAGTGATAGTCATTAGTCCTAAGCACTGACCTTATTGCCTGACAAAGACTAGCGGTTGTTTTGTCATGATTTGCATTAGAAGTGACCACATCACAAGATAAACGTTGATTGAGTCATAATAATTGTTGTTCAAGGATATAACATTGAGGATACACCTGTGCTCATTGCCCAAGGAAGAGTGGTACTGGTGATTCCATAACCGCTAGCGGATCTAGACGGGGTCCAAATCTAGGGGGGTCCAAATCCGCTTAAATTGATAGTGACTCTTGATTGGTTAAGCAGATGACTTTAAAATATTCTTGTATTTATAAAAGGCATCTTTTTCTACAGTCATCAGATGATCAGATGCTCTCTGATAAGTGGACAGAGATTGAGTTTGCTCTGCAGATGCTGGGTTTCTCTGAAGAAGAAGCAAAAGGAATCTGGGCTATCTTGGCTGCAATCTGCCATCTGGGATGTGCTGGGGTTGCAGTTGGTGTGTGCATAATCCAATTAAGTTTGAAGCTAAACATTATGATTTGTCTGCTGTGTTTCATTATTTCTCTGTTGTGTTTCATTAGAATGTTTTGTGCACTTGTTAGAGATTAAAGCTATATGAATTTCAATCTGTAAAATAATTATTTTTCAGTCATTTTAGTCAGTAGATTAGTCAGTTGGATAGGCAGCTGTTTGCTTGGTAGATCACTTGGTCAGGCAGGTCGGCAGTCAGTCAGTTTGTCATTCTGTTGTCAGTTAGTCAGTCTCAGTCCGTCAGTCTGTCAGTCAGTCAGTCTGTCAGTCAGTCTGTCAGTCAGTCTGTCAGTCAGTCAGTCTGTTAGTCAGTCTGTTAGTCTGTCAGTCAGTCAGTCTGTCATTCTGTTGTCAGTCAGTCAGTCTCAGTCTGTCAGTCTGTTAGTCAGTCTGTCAGTCAGTCTGTCAGTCAGTCTGTCATTCTGTTGTCAGTCAGTCAGTCTCAGTCTGTTAGTCAGTCTGTCAATCAGTCTGTCAGTCAGTCTGTCATTCTGTTGTCAGTCAGTCTCAGTCTGTCAGTTAGTCTGTTAGTCGGTCTGTCAGTCAGTCTGTTAGTCGATCAGTCTGTCAGTCAGTCTGTCATTCTGTTGTCAGTCAGTCAGTCTCAGTCTGTCAGTCAGTCTGTTAGTCAGTCTGTCAGTCAGTCTGTCAGTCAGTCTCAGTCTGTCAGTCAGTCTGTCAGTCAGTCTGTCCGTCAGTCTGTCCGTCAGTCTTTTGGTCAGTCTGTCGGTCAATGTGTCAGTCAGTCTGTCGGTCAATCTGTCAGTCAGTCTGTTGGTCAACCTGTCAGTCAGTCTGTCGGTCGGTCAGTCAGTCAGTCAGTTTGTCCGGCAGTCTGTCAGTCAGTGGGTGAGTCAGTTAGTCAGTCAGTTTGTCAGTCAGTCTGTCTATCAGTCATTCAGTCATTCAGTCAGTTTGTCAGTCAGTCTGTCTATCAGTCAGTCAGTCAGTCATTCAGTCAGTTTGTCAGTCAGTCTGTCTATCAGTCAGTCAGTCAGTCATTCAGTCAGTTTGTCAGTCAGTCTGTCTATCAGTCAGTCAGTCAGTCATTCAGTCAGTTTGTCAGTCAGTCTGTCTATCAGTCAGTCAGTCAGTCATTCAGTCAGTTTGTCAGTCAGTCTGTCTATCAGTCAGTCAGTCAGTCATTCAGTCAGTTTGTCAGTCAGTCTGTCTATCAGTCAGTCAGTCAGTCATTCAGTCAGTTTGTCAGTCAGTCTGTCTATCAGTCAGTCAGTCAGTCATTCAGTCAGTTTGTCAGTCAGTCTGTCTATCAGTCAGTCAGTCAGTCATTCAGTCAGTTTGTCAGTCAGTCTGTCTATCAGTCAGTCAGTCAGTCATTCAGTCAGTTTGTCAGTCAGTCTGTCTATCAGTCAGTCAGTCAGTCAGTCAGTCTGTCA